AGGGGGGGAATGTGTGTGGGGGGGGAAGAGCCCAGGGCTGGGGCAGCAGGAGGTGGGGGGGGGGCAATGGTGGGGGAGTAGGGGAGAGCCCAGGGCTGGGGCGGCAAGGGTGTGCGGGTGGTGGGGGAGAGCCCAGGGCTGGGGGGGCAGGGGGTGCGGCGAAGAGCCCAGGGCTGGGACGGGGGGCAGCCAACATTTTTTTTGCTTGGGGCGGCAAAAAACCTAGAGCCGGCCCTGTGTATCCTGTCCAAGAGACACAGGCAGCCACGTGCTGCTCGCATTCCTAACGCTACATGCGTCAGCCCCGCTGCCAGGGAAAACAGGTCACCCCGGCTGCTCACACAAGCAGGCCCACGGCGTGCCGCGTTGGGAGGGGAGGGTGTCCAGTTATCAGCCTCGGAGGCCTACGTCTGCACATCGGGGCCCCCTCTTTCAAAGCAGGCAGCCTCAGTGCAAAGCTGTCTGGGGGCTGGACTGTGCCCACTCGTGGGGGGCTTGGGGCAGAGCTGCCCTTGAGAGAGCTGCACCCACAGCGGAGGGGAAACGAGATCAGCGGGATCTGCACGGGCCTGGCCAAGCGAACCTGAGCTTCGGGGAACACGCTTTCAGCCGACCTGGCATCCCAATGTCATCACACCACAGCCCCCGGCCGGAGGAGCCTGCCCCCAGCAGCCTGGCCCAGGGAAGGGAGGAGAAGCAGGGCTCCATGGGTCTGGAGAAACCATGCTCGGGCCAGCTTTGGGATTTGGGGTGTGGGAGATGAGTGGGGGACAGATAGTCTAAGCAGCCTGTCCTCAGGGTATCACATGTTAGACATGGAGGGATGATGCCCTGGTGACAGAGTATCTTAAAGAAAAAGAAAGAGAGAGAGAGACTTAATATTGAGGCTCTAACAACGACAGCAAGGAAGTGGTGGGTGGGGCAGACCCGGGGGCTCCTCGGCAGCCTATGGTCCCATCTCCCCTGGCCACAGAACTGTGGCTGTAACCACAATTCAAGTCTGGTGCCAGACCAGCTGGTTTCTAACACCCCGTTCGGCCCGCAGCGGGGTGGGTGGGTGAGTGGGTGTGAGAGAGAGAGAGATTTAGGATCACCTCTGCCTGTAGAGAAACAGACCGGAATGCATTGGACGTGAGGTGCACTGGGGCTCCAGCGTGGTTTTTAAATATCTTTAGCACAGCCTGGCCCCTACTAACGCTGCCTGGCCAGACAGCAAGTGCTTCGTGCCATCAGTTGCTAAACAGAGCTCGCCACTGAAACCAATGGGGCTTGAAACCAGACAGCAGGATCCGGCCTTGTAACAGAATCCAGTTTTGCTCCAACTGTGTTTAGATGGCAGTGTGGTCCTGGGGGAAGACAGAATCGGTGCAGCAGGCTTTCTGCGAGGGATTGACTTTCCCCCTGGCTCCATCCATCCACCCACTTCCTTTCGCTACGACAGCTCCATTTCAGGGCTGTTTGCCCTGTCTGTCCGGTGGGAGCCTAAAGAGAGGGACTCCATCTGGTAAATCAAACGGTCTTTCCTACACCCACCTCTTCCCCAGTTCGGGCGAGGTTAGCTGACAGTGCCATGCCAGAGTGGAGGTAAGGGATACCTGGCAAAGGCATTGTGCCCACCTCTGCTAATCCACAGAGCCCAGAAACAACCTGCAAATTTAGGACAGGATCTGAAAAGCAGAGAGCTGGTCAAACAGCAAAACAAATGGGAGAGGGAATTTGGTGAATTTTCCTCCCCCATGTTTCCTCTGTTTTACAAAATGTGGCGTGTGTCTGTCTTTCTTTTTTACTTTGAGAGTTGGTTACAAACCAGGGGGAAATGTCACAAAATGTGTCAGCGTTTTCCCCGCACTGTTTGAATTGCAAAGTTTGAAACGCTGCGGAACGTTGAGGTTTGAAAGCCACCGTCAGCCATATGCAGAAGAAGATAGTGCCCAAGGTCTGGGGGTTCAGCAGAGAACAGCTCTGGGTAAGGAGACTATCTGTCTAAGGGGCTTGGATGGCCCCTGTGATAGTCGTATCTGACCGTCTTTAATGCGTTGATCCTCACCACACCCCTGTGCGGCGATGAAGTCAGCTGGCGTGCTCACACCCTTTGAGAATCCGTGCCGTAAACCAGCCACAGCCCTCGGCGGCCCCCCAACACAGCAGCCATGTCAGCCCTAGTGGAGCTACACAGGCAGGGTGTGCTGTCCGGTGGTCACAGCAGCTGCTTGGGAGTCAGGACTCCTGGGTTCCATTCCTGCCGCTACACTCGCCGGCTGTGCTTCAAGTCGCTCGACTGCGGAGTGCCTCAGTTTCCACTCCCGCAGCGCGTGTTGGTTTATGGGGGTTTCCATGGCCACCGCCTCAGCGCAGGAGCCGAGCAGCTCCCCGATAGGAACAGTCAGATGGGGACAGTGAGCCACCCTGAAGTCTTTATTGACGGTTCAATGCCCAAGAACCCGGCTGGGAGGGGTTTATATTATTACTCTGGGGGGTCCCCTAGCCTCTGGGTGCCATAAGCAACCCCCAATAAAGCAGGACGCCCGAAACCAGAGTCATACAGCGGCTCCTCAGAGAGTCTGCAAGCAAACAGCGACAGTCCCATCCCGCAGAAATCTCCACAAACCATACACACCCCTGCACTGTGGTCCTGATGGAAGCCTGTCTATGCATCTATGGGAGTTATCTGGTCCTCCCATCACCACCGAATCCGAGTGCCTCCCAGGCTTTGCTGCAGTATCCTCCCAACACCCCTGGGAGGCAGTGCTATTATCCCAATGGTACAGAGGGGGAAACTGAGGCACAGAGAGGCTAAGTGAGTCACCCAAGGTGACATAGGAGGGCTGTGGGGGAGCAAGGAATGGAACCCATATCTCCCAAGTGCCGGGTTAGAGCTCTGGCCGTTGGACCATCCTTCTCCGTGGTTTGGCTTGTATTGTGACTTATAGGCTGCGACTTATATTGAAGGGGTGACCCTCACAGCCACTGCTATCCTCCATTCCTACCAGCCTGCACCCCTGGAGGGTCACCACCTCCGATCTGGAGGCGATAGGACACAGGCTGGTGAGAGGGAGGAGATGCGAGAGGTGGCGCGTCACCGATTAGTGCAGCGCTGGTGAAAGATGCTGGCGGCAGGGAGCCTAGAGAGATAGAGGCCAGATTCTCAGCTGGTGTAAATCGGCAAGCTCCAGTGATTTCAAGGGAATGATCCTGATTTACACCGGACAGTCTCTTCCATGAGTGACTGGGCAGACACGACAACTACCTGCCCTGTACATTTACCCCGCTCCTCTCATCCCACAAGACCCCAAAGCACTGTACAAGCATGAAGCTGTCTAGCGAGCTCTCTAGGGACTCATCATGATATCTGAGCACCTCCCAAACCCCCCGAGTCCAGCTGGGCCAGCTAGGCACACACCGTAAAAATCTCTTTTCCACTCCCCTTTCCCAGATTAGGTACAAGCACTACACAGGTATCACTTTGCCCACCATAGAAATGCAGCCACCTCTGGGGTGGAACATGGCAGCTGTTTAACAGTGGCACCACATGATAGTTTGGGACAGGAAGTGAAGGGGGTTATAAATAGGTAGAATGCAATAATTTGCGCTGGGTGAAATTTGCTTGCGACAAACACTCCCAAGCTTGCAAAAAGTGCCCCCAGACCCATAACGCCCACAACGTGGACAGATCCTGAGCTTTCCAGGTCATTCAAGGGACGGCGCCGCCAGGAGCACAGCACCCGGAGCCGGGCACTGGTTCAGCGCTGACTCAGAGGGAAGAGAGTCACCAGCACCACTGCAAAATCTCTGCCCTTGGCAATGCCGGGCACCCTACTCACGGTGTAGTTGGGAGACAGCGTCACCGACTGCCCGCCGGCTGCGTAGTGCGTCTCGGTGTAGTCCGGGGACAGCAGCCTGCTGGGAGAGAACAAGAGAACCCGGTGAGCAGTCCCAGGTCTTCCTAGTCCCTCCTTATTTTACTGCCTAAGAGGGGCAAGGACTAGCCCAGTAAAAGGTGGGGGCTGGAGGATCAGATCTGGGGCCTTTCTGCTCCAGGCGGCTACACCGAGTGCAGACCAGGCCAGTAATGACCGACAGCCAGGCCCGCCGGATGGCTGCTTGGCGGCCAACTTGTGTCCACGGCACAGAAATCCCCGTGGTCGCTGGCACTGATTGCCGCCCTGCCAGTCAGACTGGGCTAGACGCTCAGCCCGGTGGTGGCCGCACCTGCCACAGACTGGGCCGTGGGAGCAGAGTCGTTTCAGTGGAGGGTGGCCCTGCTGCTGCTCCGGCTGCACCGGTTCTGTGGATCTACCGAGAGCCTCAATGCAGATGCCCTCCCTGCAGGCCTCTCCTGCTCAGCACGTGGCGTTAGCATCACGCCCCTCCCGCCGAATCACAGCGCAGACGCCGGCCATCCCCGCAGGCAGACACCCAATGGACCGCACACAGACGTGTCCCTGGACGCACACAACATGGGAAGATCCACACAACACACCGAGGCCACGCAAACACCGCCACAACCGCATCCACATGCAGGCACACACCTCTGTGCGTGCGCACACCTCGCTATGCGTTCACACAACTAGACATGCCCAGGCAAACAGGAGAGGAGCTGGAGCTGTGAGGGGTCGATCGGGGAGCAGGGGGGTGGGCAGGGGTAAGCCGGTAGAGAAGAGCCGTGTTAGGGCTAGGGGAGCCTAGAGTGCATACTAGGGTTACCATTCGTCCGGATTCCCCCAGACACGTCCGGCTTTTTCGGGTTAAAAATAGCGTCTGGGGGGAATTTGTCAATGTCCGGACTTCCCCTCCTCCCCGCCTCATACAGAGCGTGCGCGCGGCTTACAAAGCAGCCGGGGCTCCGACAGCCAGAGCCCGAGCCCTGCTTGCACTTCCCCCTCCTCTCTCTCCCACCCCCCCCCCCCCCCTGCACTCACAGATCGCCGTTCGCCGTCTGGAGCTCCGACCCTGCTGCCCTCCCCCGCTGTGGAGCACGCTGCTCTGCAGCACAGTAA